TGTTGATGTGTTGTGAGATTGTTATCCATTGTTACAGGGCAACATGTGTAGTAACTATTAAATTAGAAACTATTTTGTTCTGTAATCCTTCATCATAAGTGAGAATAGCAGCACAATTGGAAGAGCCTAGTCAATGTCACTGAAGGGTGCATGTAGAAATTGTTGAAACGGTGTATCTTTGGCTGTGTGTATTTTCACCAAAAAAAAGGTTGAGAAGTTAGAGGGTTGACATGTTGTGGGGTTGTTAACAAATGTCATAAAACAATATGTGCACTACTGTTCCATGAGAAACTATTTGTTCTGTAAGCCTTCATCTGAAGTACAATTAAAAAAAAAAAGAAAATTAGCATAGCATGCTTACTAAAATACCTTGTTGGGGGAGGGTGCAGCTGGCAAATAAATGTAGAAGGCACACGTTATCTGCATAAAAACACGGTAGGTAGTATAGAATGGAATGAGCAATAACCCAGAGAGAAGGGAGGAGTGAATTAGAGGTTATATTCAGAAAATAGAGGCAGACCAGCTAGTTGGACCACAGGATTTACGAGGGAGAGATGAAGGAAAAGAAGGCAGAAATGTAGCTGGAGCCAGACTGTGGAGGGGGTTTAATGATACGCTGAGGAGATTTGCTTTTTTCTCCGTTGGCAACAGGAGGTTTCGAGTAGGGAAATAAAATGATCAAAACTGAACTCGAGTAGCTAAAGTAATTGGTATATACTCAAATAGTGAGATCAGAGACAGGAAGATCCACTGGGACCCTCTAATAATGTAAAATGTAACAGAGTTTTGGGTAAGGTAGTGGAAAATGAAATAAAAAAGAGTGGTCAGCATGAGATACTCAAGAGACTGGACTAAGGGCATGTAGCAAGTGAGAGATTAAAATGACCCCAATGTTTGAGCTCTGAGTGTTGAAAGAATGATGCTCCACACACACTAAGATCATCTGGGAAGCTCTGAATAGACTGATACCTGAGTTCCATGCCCAGATTCTCGTTTAACTGATAGGAGAACCAGTGGGGAGTTTGGTGTTGAAGGGAAGTGGGGAGAATCCAATGAGGCATCATGCCTGCTTATATGAGAAGCAACACTCCAGTTGGCGTTATCCAATCTGTCCTATTTTCAATTCACGTTTACGTCTTCTGCAATGTATCAGGTACTGGGCTAGCACCAGAACTACCACAGTGACAAAAAGATACAGCATTAGTCTGTCCTCAGAGAATTTACCATTTTTACCAAAGCAACTTTTGGTTTAAAAACAACTCTAAATTTACTTGTCTGAGGTTGTGTTTTTTATCACAACAGAAAATTAAGAAGAAAATTTAAAAATCTTTTGGTTGTCGTTCTGAAATAATAAATGCTTTACTCTTTGTTTTTTCTGACAGACAGATCTTCGAGGAGAATAAAAATCAATGAAATCAGCTACTAAAAGGGGAAATTTGTATCTTTATGCTATATTTGAACAACAATTTCTGTTTTATATTTGTTACGGAGTAGATTTTAAAAATTAGGATCTAATGGATCTGAATATGATTGCTTGTCTGAATAATTTCATTCAATAATTACTTTATGTCTTTATTTGCTTCCTGGCCTTTTTCAAGTTCAACCTACTTCACAAGATATATATGGTATTGAGCTAAAATATATAACATATTTAAGCTCTTCCAACAAAGCTATATTTAATTAGAAATAAAATTAGCACCTAGAAATTCACCACATATTTTCCAAAGTCAATGCTCAAATGCTTAACTTTTTAGCAAATTAATTGTTTACTTAATTACATAATAAACTAGTCTCTTCCTTTTTTTGCTACTTGCAGACACATTCTGGTCCCTTCACAATTCTTCAATATTATTACCCAGTGCTGGGCAGGAGAAAGAAGAGAGGAGCTATGAGAAAACCAGTCACTGACTCTTCCTTTTAAGACTTGCGGAAGGGTTGCTATGAGTTGGAATCGACTCGACAGCAACGGGTTTGGTTTTTGGTTTTTGGGGAGAAAAGGAGTAGTTGTAGGAGGGGTGCTTGATGCTACTTATTTAATGAAAATGTAATCTTAAATGTTTTAAGATAATACAGTGATACCTGCGAAAGCTGGAACCTGTGTGAGGAAGAAACCCGTCAGAGAAGGAAAACGCAGGTATTTTCCACTAAAATGAGCGGCAGAAAAGTGGTGAGACTGCACCCTGTCAAAGGCGGAAAACGCGGGAGACCCAGGAAAACAGGGCAGTTCCGTCGAGTTCCGGCTCTCACAGGGTTCACCATGCATGAATTTCAGATTCTACCACAGATGACATAAAAGAATGACTATATTGTAAAATCTTTAAACTTCTGCCATGGGTTTTATTTAAATTGCTCTTGCACTACTGCCATTGGCATATGACATTTACTCTTTCTTCAGGCAGGTACAAATTAAACCGCCTTTACTAGCAATAGCTACCAATTTCCCCAAAGAAGTAAGTAGAATACATCAGCCAGGTTTTATAAATATGAGTACTCACTCATGGTGATGAGAATCTGGGGAAAAGTGAACCATCCTCTTGTTACTGACTGGCCCAGGAGTGGTCACCTGAAGAAAGATTGAAAAACAAAAACTAAGTCACAACTGAGTCTGTAAAAGGTCAATCAATAATAGCAAACTTCAGTTTGAGGACATTCAAGCTAAACTGCAGAATATAACAGAATACAGTATTAATTTTTAAAATCTCAGCTAAAACTGCATTGACCAAAAGTACAGTTCATGGCGGTGCAACGGTTAAAAGCTTGGCTGCTAACCAAAAGGTCGGCAGTTCAAATCCACTAGCTGCTCCTTGGAAACCCCATGGGGCAGTTCTATTCTGTCCTATATGGTCGCTAGCAGTCAGAACTAACTCGACGGCAATGGGTTTGATTTGGTTATTTAACGCTCTACTTGTTTTGGTCTAGTGTAGTTCCTCTGCTAGAATTTTAAGATTATTTTAAAGGTGCCTTTATAGTAAAATAAACATCTTTCGTAAGAACTAGACCACTGACAATTTATTTCCAAACACTGTCCAACTGAAGGTACATTTAATCTTATCTGAAAAAAGAGGCTTACTTAATTAGATTAGTGCTGAGCAGATGATATTTCAGAGAACCAACACATCTGTAGTTAATTCTTAAATATAAATAACATGTATTATAATGCACACACTTAAATGCATACAAAAACTTAAATCATGGAAGTCATGAATAGTTCTTTTTATACTTTCCCCTCAAAGTTAGGGATTATCTGTGTTCTTACATACAGCAAAATGTAACTTCATAGACTAGAACAATATTTTACTCCTTTATTTCTAAATCAAATAAAAAAATCCAATGAAGTTCAAATACTGTCCTCATGATTTAAGCTATTTTTCCATCTTACACAGGGTTCTCAAAGGGCATGTAAACACAGTACACAACGCATGAATAAATCCCCCATCACAACAGACAAAGCGCAAACTAAGAGAGCAAAAGGCCCTACGTGAAAGTCTGTCATAATCAAAATGTCCTTCTGCAATTACAGAAGTGTCATTTAAAGTATGCAATCAAAAAAGGCACGATGAGGTAGTAGAATGCCTCTTAAGACAAACTAACGTTTTCAAAAATTCATTCCTTCTTGTATCACTTGGGTAACAAGGATAAAAGCCGATGCTCTGAAATTCCAAGAAACGCAAACATTGCGAGCGTGCACAGATGATGGCATTAATAACCCCAGGGCTAAGCACCACAGGTGAACATGTGGCTCAACTCCAGGACTGCAACCTGCATTCCTGGCCAAATGAGGTTTTCATGCTCTTCCAGTGGGCATCCCTGGACTACAGTAATCCATTCTCTCCACTGTGGCGATGAGAACAGCCGAGCGCACCTCTGTCACGCTTTGTTAGAGCTTCATGATCACATTACCTCATGGTGGACCTGACACTTTTATTCAGTTTACAGTATGTTCTATGTACAGGCAACTTATTTCCTTTGCCAGGGCTGCTGACACCCTTTTCCACACTAGATTAATCTTGTTTACTGACTTTATCTTGGTACAAATATCAGAAAACCCAACTTTTTATCTCAGAGAAAAAATAAACAATGTGTTGACAGAAGCAGAAGCTATTTTCAGGACTCAAATTGCTTGTTTACCCGAAGCTATACTTATGGAAAAAGGTTTAAGTCTTGCTCTGGCTTGAGATACATAATCTGAAATTTAATAAATGAAGAAATTTCACATACACCCATGTGATAAATTGCCTGATGAAAACAATGCAACTGAATACAATAAAACAGCATTTATAACAAATTTATACCATAATACAAATGTAAGCTTTCAATCTAGTCACAAATAATCATAGAATACACTTCTCAGAAATCATCTATGTATGTATGTGTGTGTAATATATACATACATACACATCGATTCAACTGCTGCAAATAACCCATAAAAGATTTACAGTATCAAATATGTTGTTGTTGTTAGGTGCCGATGAGTCGATTCTGACTCACAGAGACCCTACAGGACAGAGCAGAACTGCCTCATAGGGTTTCCAAGCAGCGGCTTGGCGGAAACGGCCGACCTTTTGGTTAGCAGCCGAGCTCTTAACCACTACGCCATCAGGGCTCGGAATCAAATACACATATTTAAATTATTTTATATATTTACCTAGTACATGGCCCTTTGTGAAAAAAATAGTCTAATTTTCTTTATTGTTATTTCAGATCAATTTCTGTTTTAAAGATATGCAAATAGGCATGGTTTTTTTTTTTTTTTTAATGAAATAAAGCAACACCGAGATCCACACATGATGATCTTCTCAGGATCAATGTCTTCCCAAGGAGTAACGTGTTCTCATGATGAGAACCTTTTGCTACTTTAGTGATCAGACATCCTTAACTAAACTCTGAGGATGGTATCTTTAATAGAGAATTCAACCTGGGGAAAGCATTGTTATACTGAAGTTCCAGAGCATGTCAAACTTTAAAACGTGTTTAATACGATTGGTTGTTAGTAGAATATTTCAAAGTATTATACAACTTCAAAAAACATCCTTAAAGAATTCTTTCTAAACATTTATAACTATTTCATCATTAATTCAGGGACAGACAATAATCTTTATAAAAAATAAAATGAGGCAATTTTAAATGTTAAAGTATTAATTGCCAGTAAACAATTTCCTTTTCTAAAACATTTCCCTTCTGATAGTTCCAGAAACATCTTAGAAAGAAATCACAAATTAAAAAAGTCACCTTAAGTAGCCAATAAAATATTCATACAGAAGAGTGTATTAGAAAGAAAGAAATCAAATTTTATTCTACAAGGTTAGATAGAGAACAGGTATTCTGATCTTCATGAGAAGCAGTATCTCCACAACCCAATCCTTGTCATTTGTTAAAACTCTGGAGATAATCATTTATGTAATTAGCTAATATTTAATGACGATAACCTTAGACATCAACAACACATGGCTTGAATTTTTATGATTTGTTTGTTAAATATTACTGAATCAATAGTGACTACAATCCTAAATAAAGTAAGTATATCTCTTGTCATTACCTATGCTTATTATGCATATTGTTAAATTTTTAAATAACCTCGAACCAGAAAGGAATGGCTGGTCTCTAGGTAACTTTTATGTCAGTGACTCTGGCCTTTTAGATTGTGAAATAAACTATAATGCTACAAGACCACACGGGTCTCTGTTGCTGTCATTTTCTGATAACAATCAACGCATCATCAGAAAATAGGAGTATAGTAGAAACAGATGAAAATGTAACAGTTGCATAGGTACCTCTATCGGTATTTCTAAGGTCAGTAAGTATTAACGTACAGGAAACTCAGCTAAATGGTATCAGTGAAAAATAACATCTATTGTCTCACGTTTAGTGGACCCATTGAAAGCAATTTCTTATTCTTTTTATCACTGATTTATGAACACTGATTTTATGACTTCTCTCAAAAGACAAACAGAAGAGTTGGTTTTACATCTCATTTTCATTCTGTCATTATCAAACCCAATGCATCCCATCCCATTTTTCTACAACTAGATATTTGAAGAAATCATTTCCAAAATCAGGAAACCTTATCTGAGACACAGTGGTCTTGTAGGATTAATAAAGAGGTTGCTCCCTCAGGATGACATCCTACGTACAATCTCAATGATTAAGAGTCCTGTAAATTAGTAAACTTGTGGGTACCCATGTAAGTATAAGAAACCATCATGCTTTCTTCTTTCCCTCTAGAATAACATTCCTCTTCACCTCTGCTTTGGTTCTTGACTGTATTGTATTTGCCTTCCAAATGCTATTCTGCCTCACTGCCCACACTGACAAACACTTATGGTGGCAGGCTGCCATTCAAAAACAGGCCTTTCAACTTTGTGAGGACTGGTCAATCAAATCCGCCCGGCCCCCAGGCTGTAGGGAGACATTGCCGGAGTCTCCCTGCTACTATGTCAAGACCTAGATGTTTCCTGCTTCTCCTAGGACAATTATTAATTTGACTCTACTTTTCTGAAGAGAGAAACAAGCCTTCAAAGTTTAGCGGCCTCTGTATGAAGGCCCCCTGGTATGTTCAACAAATGTGTCAGTCAAATACATGTAAGTGACAGATATTAAAGTAAACAACTCAGCAAAAACAAGCTTAAAAATATGACTTTAAACCACGGGGGCAGGACGTAAGGGGAGGAGGGCAAAGACAAGGAAGGACATCTATTTTAATTGTCATTCTATAAATTTACCTTCATTTAATTATTTAAAAAACTCAGAAAATAATGTTTTAGGTTTCGTTATTAAATTTTATTAATCTTAATTGTTATTAAAATGAATGTGTTGTTTATCTTTTACCACTGTGCAGAAGAATAAAGAAAAATGCTCCAAGGAAGCATTTCAGTTATGGGCACCTGTGTTTTACACTGGTGTTCTAAAAAGTTCTGTTACAACATAGTTGGGGGAATGAAGAAAATATTTCCTTGTGTCATCTATACTCATATATAATGTCACAGAATGGTCACAATTCACAAAAGGCACAATCTATTTGGGAATGAAAGATATATTCAAGAAAATAACATTAGAATTACTTTTAAAGTAATATACAAAAAAGGAAAAATTACTTTAGAATTACTTTTTAAGCAAATACAAAAAGTGATGATTCAAGTAGTATACACTGAATCTTATAAGGTTAAAGGAAAAAAGAGTAGTTATCTGATGTAAGAGGAATAGAGAATTGTAAGCAACTTATTTCCCCTGCTCCAATTCTCCTTAACAACTTTCCAAATTCAACTTTCTAAATCACTGCTTTTCATGTCAGTTTTCTCATTCCAAAGCTACTCATGGTTCTACACTGAAAGTGAAATTAAAACTACTTAGATTTGCATTCAAGACCCTCCTCCCTAAAATCCAAAGATTCAAGGAAGCAATTAGTTCAAAGCACTAATGGCCCGCATGAACCACAGCCTCCTCCAACCTGAGACCAGAAGAATTAGATGGTGCCCAGCTACCACTACCTACCACTCTGACCAGGATCACAAGAGAGGGTTCCAGCTAAAATGGGTGAAAAATGTAGAACAAAATTCAAATTCATAA